GTGTGTGTGTGTGTGTGTGTGTGTGTGTGTGTGTGTGTGTGTGTGTGTGTGTGTGCGTGTGTGTGTGTGTGTATGTATGTGTGTATGTATTAATAATCACAGGAGGTCAGGCTTTAGGAGTAATCATTGATCGTTTATTGCGACAGTGCTTTTTCGTATGGTCCGAAATTGTAGGACCACACTCATCAGGCAACTTCAACGATTGACCGTTAGAATTAAAAGCTGGCAGTAAAATTTGGGTGGTTGTTATAGGGATGCGTTAAGAGATTGTATCTAGGTAATAGATGGTAGTGTCTTAGTTACGTTACTCTAGAGTTATGAAGTACATATCTGTTTCTGTGGGGGCATGAACTCGCTAGTTCGTTTCGCCTGTTTAGGCTAGAAAGCTCTTTTTTACAAATGATGATGAACTTTTCATAAAGACAAAGATTACAGTTTTTGCTAATGTTGCTATAGGGTTTACATTTCTTGAAAACTTTCCATTTTATCTGGAAAGGTTTCTTAGAGTCTTGTAAAGTCCAAATATATTTTGAGAGTTCCATTTCATTTCTTCTGTTCGAGCATCGAAAGGAGGACTGATGGTTTCTGTAACGTTCCTTAAAGTTTAATTGTTCCTTAAAGTTTGTTATTTGTGTATGTATTTATGTATGTTTGATGGATATTTTGCTCAGTCACCATCTTCCTCTTTTTGATTTTCCTGATCGAGTTGTCAATCCTGTATTATGTTAAGCGGTCATTTGGCCCCGAGGGTGACCGTTAATGGTCTTTTCTACATATCCGTTAGTGATAACTTTGCCAAAAATAATGCACTTGTGTATATTAATACTGATTCTGTATGTCAATAACTCAACAATGACAAAATTCGATGCTATAAGTACCAAAGAAAGTCCGATTCTGGCCAGTCTCCAAAATATGGAATTCTCATTACACTATTTCAGTAGTGTCGATTGTTCTTTTTCAGATTTAGAAGACTCCGTTATCGTGGGAAAGAGCAAAAATCATTTGAGAAGTTTAAGGAGTTGGCTATCCCCTGTAGTACGAAGCGTGAAATCTGCCTGGAAGCGCTGTTGGCGTGCATCCGTAGACGGCTGGGCTGCAAGTACATTTCACTCCCGATGTGACGGCAAGGGCCCGACTGTGACAATAATAAGGGTCGGGAGGTATATTTTTGGAGGATACACCAGTATTCCATGGGATAAGTGAGCATTGTAAGCCATGGCGGTGGTATTAACACCTTTGGCGCATATTGGCATTAATATGTTCAGCTAAAAGTGCAGCTTGGTACCAAGCAATATGAAATCATGTAACTCTCTTTTCCATACATGTTAAGCAGTGGCGAACAAAGGTTCTAGGTTAATGGATCTAGAGGGGGGCCCATATCCCCTCGTTCCTCGAGAACCACCCCTCCTACACTCACATGGTATGAATAAGCGCCACCCTCACCCGTCTTCTCAAGTTCTGATTCTGCAGATGATAAGTGATGCATTTCTATAGCCTGTCAAAACGTGCCCAAATTCCAGGCTAACACTATTATAATAATAATTTTAGGTTATAAAGTATCGATATTGTTCCGACTTTCTTGCCACCCTGCTACCTTCCATCCTTCAATTCCCATATTACAAAAGAAGTACTTCATCGCAAGTTTTTGGTGAAATTCGCAAATTTTGGCAAAGAAAAAAACACGCTCTTTTGACATGTCCACGTACGTGATATAACAAGACGAAGGTTCATTTCACCGATCAAACTTTCGTAATTTTGCCTGAGCGAAATGTCGCGAAGGGGATTCTTCTCTTCGGATTCGAACGAACTTAATA